CATTGAAAACTTGAGGCATGAACAGAAAATGCGTAAAAAACGCCTGACAGCATTTACAGGAGCTGCAGTTTCTGTGGAATCGTTTTTGCCGAGTGTTTCAGCTCAGTTTATGTGTCTTCACTGGCCGGCAGTGTGTGTGTGTGTGTGCACACAACATTTTAATTGAGACTGATAAATGATGACTGAATTGAAATATATTATTTAGGAATAAGAGCAATGTGAGATTTGAACATCACAAGTCATTTCCTTGTTTTATTTACTGCCTCACAGAATGAATAAATTACCACCTCCCTTTTTTATTCCGCCATCTATCATCACAGGTAAACAGTGTCCCTACAACATGAGGTTTGAAGAAAGTGCTTTTCCTTGCGTGGATACTTGCACACATCAGGAGACAAGATTAGTGTGTGAGGACCACAAAACAGACGGCTGCTTTTGTCCTCCCGGTTAGTTCTTTTCACATGTAAAATGTGTATTTTGTCATTGTTAATTCAAAATTACCCAATGAACTGCTTTTTTTCTCTCAGGAACGGTGTTTGATGATATTTCTGAGAGGGGCTGCATCCCTCGGTCTGAGTGTCAGTGCAAGCATGACAGAATCTACGACTCCGGAGACGTTTACAGTCATGAAAATACAAACTGGTATGCATGTTTTAAGGTGTTTAGAAAATTTATATTTATTTTTTGCATTATGTGTTTATCTGGTTTGTCATACAGACAATTGTTTTCTTTTACAGTACCTGTTCAAAAGGGAGATGGGAATGCGACAGCTTTGAGACACCTGTTGCCACATGTGCAGTTGAGGAAGGTTCACATTTCACAACATTTGATGGTACAACCTTTACCTTTCATGGAAACTGTCGCTACACCCTGGCCCAGGTGGAAAGCAAGGTAAACGCATATTTAATAATTTACTGTTGTTAAAAAGAATACAGTGTAAGGGTGGAACTTTAAAAAATAAGTTGATTTCTCTTATTTATGGAGTATATTCATATGTTTCAGGATGGAGCAAGTCCAAATTTTACCATCCGAGCCTTGCTGGAACCATGTGCCCAAGAAAAGTATGACACTTGTTTGAAGGCTTTAAAACTCCATCTGCACGATGATCATGTAAGTTAAATGCTAACATTTTTGGATTCACTTTCTAGATTCACACTGACATTTAAATCTCACTGATGAAACACTGTATTTCTCTAGGTCTTAATGTTCACATCTGATGGCACAGTTCAGCATGATCACAAAACCTTGACTTTGCCGTACTTCTCAGGTAGGTGAGACGATTAAAGGAAACTCACTTTACCATGCTGTTCTGAGCTTACATCAGACCTGATCTCTCTGACTTTATTTATAGGGGAAATTAGAATATTTCATGCTTCTTCCATTGACATCTTGCTTTATGCCAAGTTTGGCCTGCAAATTCAGATCCAGCGTTTACCTGTCATGCAAGTCTACATCAGTTTGGAAAATAGCTACAAAAATAAGATGAAAGGTAAGTTTGATATTACTTTTGAAGTCATCCAACTTTATTTAAGGATCACTTTTCAAATGACGAGTGAAACCTCAGTCACTTACCCAGACACAGCTCAAGCATTTGATGTTTCAACCATGTCTTTCAGGTTTATGTGGTACCTTCAATGATGTCTCTAATGACGACATGATGACTCCACAGGGGCTCACTGAAGGATCTCCATTAACTTTCAGTAACTCTTGGAAGGCTAACACACCATGTGCAGACAGAGAGGAAAGACTCAATAATCCCTGTGATCAAAGTTTAATTACTGGTAAAGCTTTTCTTTTAGTTGAGCAAGTAACAATATGACTAAAATTTCTTTTAGCATTTTAAAAGTTATTAGACGTGTGAAAAATATATATATTTTTTGTATTTACTCATAGAGCATTATGCCAAACACTGGTGCGAAATACTTCAAAATCCAAATAGTACATTTGCAAATTGTCATTCAGTATTGGATCCTAAAATATACTATCAGGTAAAGCATTTTTTTTTTAATGGACTTTTACTACCTTTGGCTGGACTGTAATTTACCTAGCGTATTCGTTTTTATCTGCAGCGTTGCCTTTATTCAACCTGTAACTGTGAAAAGAGTGAGGACTGCTTATGTGCCGTCTTGACCTCTTATGGTCGAGCTTGTGCAGCGAAGGGGAAGTTTGTGGCAGATTTTGGAAATGTTTGTGGTAAGGTATTTTTCATTTTTATAGGACTGATGACTATTTGACAATTTGTCAACTAGTGAACACAATTAATTAACTCTCATTTGTAAGCAACAAAACAGTCCAGTAACTACCCCTTATTATCCATAAAACAGAGAAACACACAAAGAGCTGTCCAGCAACTCAGATCTTCACTTACAATCACCGGAGATGCCAGCTGACTTGTAGTTCGCTGAGCTCAGATCAGCAGAGCTGCACTTCAAATTTCTTGCCTGTGGTTGGCTGTTTCTGCCCTGATGATCTCTATCTGAATGAAAACGATGCTTGTGTACCCAAAGAAGAATGTTCCTGTTTCCATAAAGGAGAATACATTGAGGCAGGAAAGTCTGTAGACATCAATCGTGAGCACCTGTAAGTCTGACATAAAGTTTAATAATATCCTTGATTTTTAAAATTTAAGTATTTGTAATAGCGCATTGCATTTCTTTGTTTTTTTTTTTTATTATGTTTTGTGCTTTCTTTAGTGTGTGCACAAATGGAAGACTTTTAAGCCATTCTCCAAAAAAAAGCCCCCCAGGTCAGTCATCAAGCTGCTCATATCTATTTTTGCCCACATCTTTCAAATGTAGAAGAAATTGATTTATGTAAATTAATTAGGTCACTATATGAATATGTAACGTTTCTCCTTTTTGTTCAGAATGTAAACCTCCAAAAGTGTACTTTGACTGTTCCAATGCCACCCGTGGAAGCCCCGGACCACAATGTGCTAAAACTTGTTTAAATCCGGATAATGTTTGTGTGAGTTGCCAACATGTTGATCTGATTTATTCATAGCTCTCTGTATCCATCAATGACATCATTTCAATGCATCTTATATTGTTATTTGATCCTCCTGCATTCTATTCTGCTTTTGTGAAAGAGTTATATGGAGACAATTTAACCACACAAAACATACATCTTCCAAATGCCCGAATATTCCCTCTTAACACCACAGATATGAAAAGACTACAAGTGTTACAATACTCCAAGGCAGCACTTATGAATTCAGTACAACATGTTTGTCAACTGTCTCTCCTGCAACAGTGAATTTTCTCTTTCAGACTCATATAATTTCTCTTCAGGGATGCTCATCAAAAGAGCCCCAGAAGTGAAGCTGAGTAGTCAATCATGTATTGTTGAAAGGAGAAATTATTAAATATTTGTCCAGTAGCATTGCTGATTTTAATGTTTTTGAAAAATTGCTATGATTATAACCATGATAATGGTAATGAGAGGAATCTTCCACTAAAGTCTACCCCCTGAATAACAATCCAGAGGGTTTTAGGGATTTGCTCCATTTTCTATTGTCCACTGTTTTTAATGGCCTTAGCTACCATATTGCTCTGCTCTTTTCCACTATTTACTTTTTCCTGTTCATTAGTTGCCATCATTTGGTCTCTGCTGATAATCAGTTGTGAATGTTTTTGTGGTTTATATGATGATTATGGTGCTCTGGTTGGCATGATGATAATAATGTTAAATCAGCTCTCAACTAATGTTCCTAAGATGTAAACTTCAAGTCCTTCAGATTTCCAGGTTAATTTTATATTTGCAACCATCTTTATTTCATCCTAAACTTAGAAGTTATTTTAGGTAAGAAGGCCTCAGATGCCTCATGTCATTAGTTGATTCTCAAAGATCAGTTCCAACATAATTTAACTTGGTGTTTGTTCAGAGTTGAACTTATAGGAAATCATAAGTAAGCTGGACATCATAAGGCCCCATCTTTCCATACATGGAAAGTGATGTTGAAGAAAGACAAAACCTTAGTTTCTATTGTGGAGTGGTTGAGATATTTTTAAATCCGTAAAAAAAAAAACACACATTTTTTGTACTTTACTGGTTTCTTTCTTTTTGTTGTACATACACTTAAATGGTCTATGGTCAAGTTTTTGCTGGAACATTAAAGAACAGTATAATTATGAATAAGCAGCTCAATAGGCCTATTTGTCATGTTTCCTGACATAAAAGCAGCTAACCTCCACCTTCCAGTTTTGAGTGTGGTTTTAGCTCAAAGATTATCCAAAAAATCCACAAGGCAAGCATTAATCAGCTCACATAACAGACTACCATAATTCTTAATTTTTCCCTCAAAATAAGCACAAAGGAGAAAGTGACCAAGGGGGGAAGGAACAAAGATTTTTAAAAACTTTCTCAATATAAAAAATAAAATAAATCACACAAATAAGTATTTGTGTTTCTATTCCAATTTCTGTGTATTTTTTTATTCTTTCAGGACCCAACAGAGTGTGAATCTGGCTGCATGTGTCCACCTGGTCAGCTTGATGATGGCAATGATTCCTGTGTAAAACATGTAAAAGAGTGTCCATGTCAGCATAATGGTCAGTTTTATAAATCTGGCAATCACATTTTTCAAGATTGCAACAGATGGTAAGAAAACCCATTCTCCATCATTTTAAATTAAAGCTCTTGTAGAAATTAATGTTTCAAGGCTTATGATGATAATGATTTCCTTTCCCTGCTCTCAATGTATTTAGTACTTGCAAACTTGGAAAATGGGACTGCACAAAAAATAAATGTCCAAAATCCTGTGTTATTTATGGAAGTGGGCATCACAAGACGTTTGATGAGGAAAAGTATGAGTTTCAAGGAAAGTGTTCCTATGTTGCTGTCAAGGTAAATTCATCATGTAACAGTAACTGAAATAACAACTGCAGTACAGATCTTCAGACAAGCTCCACTAAAAGAGCTTTTTGTTAGGTTTCTTAATGACTTAACAGTACTAAACATTTCTAAAGCATTTAAAAGCCATTTTGTTTTAATAACTACTGGGCATGGGCAAATTGATTAATTAAAATAGTCACTAGAAAACAAAATTTAAAAAAAAAATGCTATTTTAAAGCGACTGCATGTGTGGATATGTAAGTTTGTGCCCATGGGTACTGTAACAAAAAAGCATATTTGTTATTTTAATTAGTAAAAATGGAAAGATTAAAAATACACTGTTGCCCTCTTTTATAATAGTCTGGTGAAAGAAAGCATCTTTACTATTTTAGCCATTCATGATCTTGATTTCTGTGTGTAAATTTGATTATTTGATCAGTTAATTCTGTTTTTTATGGTAGTGAGGCACAATATTTAATTAACTTCTTTTTGTTTAGAACAAATGTTCCAACAAAACAGTAGGCATCAACTTTGAGGTTATCACAGAAGATGAACTATGTGGATCAACAGGCACAACCTGTTCCAAAACTGTACTAATTCAGCTGGGGGTAAGAAGTTAATCTTCATGTTATTGAGAGTTTTTAAAAATGGAAGTGTACAAGCAATTAATATTCTAAAACTATAATTACTACAAATGTAAATGTATTTTTTCATAATTACTGAAATCTCCTTGTCATTTTAGACAGCTGAAATCAAGCTCTCAAATGGAAAATTTGAAGAGAACAATTTGGAAAATAATAGGAAAAAATATAGCATAAGAAAGCAAGGTTCATATATTGTGGTGACATCCGAGATTGGTCTGACGGTGATATGGGATCGCAAAACATTTTTTCTGATCCAACTGGACCCAAAATTCAACGTAAGTCATATTGATTTTTCTATGTGGAGCAGAGGAGATAAGATTTGGTCAGGATGTGGCTCATTTGGGGACTGAGGTTTTATGAGAGTTCTTTTGTTTTTTTCCAAAGGCACGTTTCTAAGCAGTTGAAAAAGGCATAGGTCAACATTGTTGCAGTGGGAAGAGTAACCCCTACCGTGCTCACATATATAATTCACTGAATCTCACTGTTTTCAACCACAAACTTAAGAAACACCCAGTGTGAATAAGAAGCTTCAGAAAAAAATAATTATTGGCAGAAATGTGCCAGGGCTAATGATCCTACTTTGGGCTTTTATTATTGGAGCTGAAACAATATTTAATTTCTACTACAGAGGCTTAAGGATATGTATGCATCAAAGGTTGGCAAAATGACTGGGAAAATATCTGCATTTTAAATACAGGGCAATGTTATTGTTCTATATATTATTAGATTTTTTTGGCTACTCTGTTTTTCTTGCTGTCCTTAGAAATGTTTGTTAAAAGACCATTAGAGCTAAGACAACCTACCTAACCTCTGACCCCCAATGAAAAACGGGTGCAAAATGGTTGATCTTGCAAGTCATCAAAGATACATTATACAAAGTTGGGGTCAAGGTGACTGCTGTAAAGTGACTGTTGTGTGTTTGCACAGGGTAAAGTGTGTGGCCTGTGCGGAAATTTTGATGAAAATAGAAATAACGACTTCACTACCCAGAGTGGGATGTTAGTGACCAGCTCATTGGAATTCGCAAACAGCTGGAAAGTGGGTAGCTCGTGCCCAAATGTGGAGGAAAACACTGATGCATGTAAAAAAGCACCCCACCGAGAGTCTTGGGCGAAACTGAAATGCAGCATTATAATAGATGAATTCAAAGAATGTCATACCGAGGTAACGATGGCGCTGTCTTTGCAATATGTCAATCTGAAATTATGAAACAAAGTGCTAATGGTAAAAGGATAACTCTCAATACTTAAACAGGTAGATCCCCATCCATTCTATGACAACTGTGTTAAAGACACATGTGCCTGTGATTCTGGAGGAGACTGTGAGTGTTTCTGCTCAGCTGTTGCAGCTTACGCCCAAGCTTGTAATGAGGCTGAAGTATATGTTGCATGGAGAACTCCAGACATCTGTCGTAAGTAGATCTGTTTATTTATTTATATATATTTGCAGTTTGAATATTGAATTTTCAAATTTATTACAAATATTTTGAGTAAGTTTCTACAGATTACAAAATACCCGAGCATATTAAGTTGGTCTCAAAGTATCAATAATATAGACTTATTTGAAAAGGACAGAAACAGATTTTTTTAAAATTATTATTCATTCTAAAACAATGTTTGCACCTCTCATTCACATCAAGGGTTTTGGGGTTTTCTTAAAACACTTTACAAAAGGGATAATATTAAAAACTGAATTTGTGGAAAATGTATGTAGACTAGGTACACAAAGATTTTAAGAAACATCTCTGAGCATTAACCTGTTTTATGCATACCCACAATTGGTGTCTGCATCACTGACTATAAAGAGCTGTTTTAAGGCGTTTTCCTAATCTTCTTTGGTTTGGCTTGACGTTACCACTATTGCTTTCAGGTGTAAACAAGTTAATAACTGACAGGAAATGGTTAGTTGTAGGTCTGTAATAAGATCTTGTAGAAATAAAATGGGACTATTTCAACAACTGTCTCACAAAAAGTATTAGAATCTGTCTAACTGACGTGATCCAGGCATACCAAATCCCTAACATGTTAATAACTTATAAACAGATGAATACAGACTCCAGGGATAAGTCGAATTGCTGCTTACAAGTAGAAAGAGATACAGCAGGGATGGCAAATCACATTTTAACAACAGCATAATATTGCTTTTGGATTGTAAAAAGTGTGCTTTTGAGAAGTGCAGGGGACTTAAAATTTAAATGATTGGCAAGTGTGGAAATCATTTAAAATTAGTTGTGCTAGACCACAAACATATTAAAAAGATCTTTGCTTTAAGAAACATTTCTGTTTCTGGTGATTTTAAAGGAATTTTTGTCATGAAGACAACCTCATAAATTTGTGGAAAATGTATGTAGACTAGGTACACAAAGATTTTAAGAAATCTTTGTGTACCTGGATATTTTTACTACCAACTGACATAAAGATGGAAATTCAGCTAATTTTAAATAAAGCTTTAAGACTAAAACAGACAACAATATTAGATAAGAAATATACAAAGTAGTTTATCCTGAACTTGTGATCATAACAGATAGTGCCTGTTTCCGCAGTGAGATCTAACAGGACATTTGAAGGAATTTTAAAAGACATATTACATTGCAGTCTTTACACATTTATTTATACCAAATCATTTTTTCAGCTATCTTTTGTGATTTCTACAACAATCCAAATGAATGCACATGGCACTACTCCAGCTATCCTCCAACGCACTACAGTCCATGTTTGAACTGCAGCCAAACTGTCTTAAGACTTGAAGGTGAGATGTTCATTTAACCTATTTTACATTAAAACAATTAATACTGCTGATTAAACTTTTGAAGTTTAATTAAATTTAAATTTATGTTTATGATTTCAAAATATCATGTTAAACACTTTTTGGTGACACTTTATTTGAAGGGGTGTGCATAAGACTGACATGATACTGTCATAAACATGACATAACACCTGTCATGAACATAAAGAAGTCTTTATGAATGTTTATGACAGTTGTCATGAAGTGTCATTCGGTAAATAATGACACTTTTAATGCAAAGTTGCTCTAAAAGATGCATTAAAAGTCCATTAAAAGTGCCAACTTTGCATTGAATTATCATAATTTACAAAATCATGCAAAGTTGGCAATTTTAATGGACTTTTAATGTAACTTTTAGAGCAACTTTGCATTAAAAGTGTCATTATTTACCAAATGACACTTTAAAACAACTGTCAAACATTCATAAAGACTTGTTCATGTTCATGACACTGTCATGTCAGTCTTATTCACACCCCTTCAAATAAAGGATTACCCACATTTTTTTCAGTATATAAGGAACATTATATTTATGTACTGTAAACTTGCATGATGTTCCACAGGTTGTTATCCTAAATGTCCGGAAGAGAAGCAATGGTTTGATGAGAATAAACAGCAATGTGTTGAAGCATGTGACTGGACAGCATGTACAACAACCACTACATCTACAACCATTTCAACAACAACTGAAACACCCACTACAACCATTTCATCAACTGAATCTACAACTACACCCACTACAACCACAACCACTACAACTGAAACACCCACTACAACCATTACATCAACTGAATCTACAACTACATCCACTACAACTACAACCACTACAACTGAAACACCCACTACAACCATTACA